GGCTACACTTGTACCAAAAGCCAGTTACAAGTACTGCCTGTCTCGCCCGTTTACCCTTTTCTTTAATTTACGAAAATATTTTACATTATCATATTTTGCTGTTACTAATATTTATAACATTATAGTATTTATAATGTTTATAATAAAAATAACCATTGATATTCATAGTACTAGTAAAAAATACATTTTCCCGCCAATTCAAGTAAAGGTGAAATCATGTGTAGAGACATTTCACAAAAAATATTAAAAATTAGCACAGCATTTTCCCCATTTTTTGTTAATTTTCCCCATCGCGAATCGGTTAAGACAATTACCTAAGTAAATTTGTCTATCACACATTCTGCACCTCAAACAAATAAGACTAATCTACTCTTAATCTATGGGTGCATGGAATATAATCAGAACATAAGATTCAGATAAACACTATAACACAGTTTATTTCCAACAAGTCTTTATATCACTCACATACACATAAACAAAAAAAAAAACAAAAAAAAAAAAGAATAAGCACCCACAATTCAAATCTATTACAACACACTGATTACTAACCTTTGTGGGTGGGAACTTTGTAATGAAGAAGTTGGCCACAATGCAGAAAGTCTTGCTGACTAAAGGCACACATATGGACTGGTGGACCATGGCTGCCAGACGGTAGTTTGGCCCATAGAAAGGATCGCTGATGGCTGGGCAGAGCATGTTATTCAAGTTTACCTGAGAAGCCTTATGGGAAATGGAAAAATAAGAACACCTATTATTTCTAGTGTAAAAGCCTAAGAATAAAGGTAAGTAGATTCTTACATAATCATAAAAATATCAAACAGACAATCTAAAAATGATCAAGATAAGTAATCAAAAGTCATCATTGTCACCATCAATGGCAGTATTGTATTTGGCTAAATGTAATGAAAATACCTACCATGGCTATGATCTGCAGAGGCAAAAAGTGATAGATCAGCAGAATCCCTAAAGACATCACAGTCCAGCTCATGTCCCAAGGGCTCTCCACCGTGTACACACCTGTCAAGTGAGAGACAAGATTTTAATCAGCATGTGTGTCTTTTGGATCTCTTAACTACTAATGTAGGGGTGTGCATATATACATGCACTGTGTAGTTCTGTTTTATTAATTTTGCTTATACTCACCATGGCATCAATAAGTAGGCCTATCTGACCACACCTGCTTACCCCAATCACTGAATTTCTGTGAAGAAGTTTTTATATTCATTGTTGTTAATAATGTTATGATAATAATAATGATAACGATAACAACAACCTAAAAGTTAATAACACTAATCATAGTAATAACATAAAAAATTCTAACAATTCAAGATCTAAGGCAACAGGTGAGATCAAGTAAACCTATTTACTAAATCATTGATGACCAAGAGCTTGCAAAGCTATGTGTAAACAAACTTACAAAACAAAACAGCAAACAGAGCATGTAGCCTCATCTACATTAGTGGGTTAAGAAATTGTATGGTTAAACACAAGTCACTTTCACTGCATATAACAAAAACCCTTGTTCCTGCATCCATGTAGCTTTAAACAAGAGTATCTCTTAACTGACTTTATAGAACATAAGAAATACACTATGAGCTATCACTGATTAGATTTACATGGAAAATGCCGAGCCTATGGAGGAAATGAATGAGTCAGTTTGTGAAGTCCTGAAGAAATGTGTAGGGAATAAGTAGGTAGCCGTGTGGTTTTCAGAACCTTGCATTGTCATAACATGGCAACACAACAGTGTCAGTATGAATGATGTCAATTGCCATGACCTCATGACAAGAGTATGCATATTTAAGGTGAGAAGGATAACCATTTATTTTCAGCTCCTAAGCATTAATTCAAATATTAATTCATATTTTTATCTATTCTGTTTTTTTTAAGAATCCAGTTTCACCTTTAATAATCATCAAAAATACCTAAGGCAACATTTCTGACTTCACACACATTTCAAATTTCTTTTCATTACCCGTTTTCTTTAATGTATATCCATTTGATATCACAAGCATTTTAAGCATCATGTAGAAGAGAGGGAAAAAAATGTGCTGCAGACAATGACCAGAAAGACAGAAAAGCAAAGACAAGCCAATAATAACCAACTGCAAAAATCTTGTTCTCTTATTCCTGGTTAGCTCAAAGTGGGTTTAGGTTACTAGTGCTAAACCTCATATTCACACCCTGGATAGTTTCAATCAGTCATCCCTTATCATACATGAAATTTTCTTTCTGAATGTTCTACTGCTTCTATGCTTCAATGATTCATAAAACCATTCATATTTCATTGTTTACGTCTAAATTGTCATTTTACACATCAAACGTTAGAAACAAATAACATTAACAACAGTTTCCACTCTGTCCACTGCTTTACAGGCTTCAAGGATGCATTTTGTTTCTGTAATGTAGTGGCAAGGGTAAATTTAGTTCTATACACTGATAAGTCTTATAATTAAGTCTACTTATGTGCTTATCTTAAAATGTATACGAACAGAAATCATCACATCTGCTGGATGCTTTATTTAATCCATTTATGCCTGGATACATTTGAATAAAGCTTAGAGATTCAGGGTTGCATTTGCATGCCCTGCTCCATGCTTGAGCTATCATCTGGTCCATAGCCATTCTGGCCACCAGGATACTGGCTCAAAAGGTGAATAATCATCATCAGGCATCTGGAAGATTTTTTGCCTTCACATGATAGGACACCCAGTATTAGTGGGATAATATGGCCAATACTATTGAATAAAAATTGTGACAAAATGCATTCTTTACATAAATGTTATAATTTATAACCTTTTGGTTGAAAATCTATCTTCAGCTACACATAAGATTTGAGACAATATGTAGGTGGCAACAAACCTAAAATCTTTTTTGACCTATATACCACACAAGCTGGGGAAAAAATAAGAAAAAATACTTAAAACCTGTATGTCAGTGTTTGAATAATATGAAAATTATACAAATAATCAATCAGTAACTCCAGTACATCTTTCAAACAACATCAGATAAATCTTTTATTGGTGACTCTCTCCAGTTTAGCTCACAAAAAGTATAAAGACATTTTACAATGCTATTAGCCCTTTTTTAGCAGTTGCATTATTGCTGTTTTGTTATTTTTCAAGGTATAGATTTGTCAATTATTATCCAATATCAAGATAAGATTTTTTTTTCATATTATCTCTCTAGGTAGTTTACACATTGTGTAATAACAATAACAATTAACACTGTGTTATTTTTCATATTTTTATATCAGCTAATTCTTCATAACATACCCTACAATGCCAGTAACAGTAAGCAGGAATAGGTACCAGTGTGTGGACTAGGCATGGTTGCTGGATGGAAAACCTGATGATGGATGGTAAACCTGATGGACCAGTGGAAATCCTGCATGAGCTTGCAAACAAACCCGTTCCAGATAGCCTACAGAGTCCATCACCAAAAAACTTGGCAACAATTTCCCATGATGAGACATTCTCATCACCCCTTGCCCCTTGGCTAAATCCTTTCATGATCTTTTCAGATTCAGTGGGTTAAATAGTCCTGATACTAGCAGTACTCACAGTTTACAATAAGAGGATAATTGTCAAGTCCAGAAGTACTGACAGAACTTCCCAACTCTGATTAAAATTATAATAACAAGAACTGATAATAGCAAGTCCCACAGAGCAAGATAAATTTAGTGATTTCAGCATATGAATTCTGTATGTAATGATAACCTCAGAAGCCAAGTATGTGTCTACTCAACGAGAAAAAAATCAGCTGTGCTTTCATCACCACACAGAAAAGATTATTATAAGACCAACAAAACATTCTTAGCAGAAGAAATGATAAGCCCTGAATTGACAGTTCAGCATGCTGTAGGACAAGTATAAAATTAGAGGAAAAAAATAAAAGGAAAAAAAGAAAGGCCATGTAAAACTGTCTTTGAGAAAATCTATTCTCCAAAGAGTTCATAAGCATTGAATAATCTTCCCCCTTCTTTATGTGAAATATACAGTCTTTGAATTATGTTTATATCCATGACCACTGTAAAGCAGATCCATCAACCAAAAGACTTTTAAAGCATAATGGTGTAGGAAACAAGAATGTCATATGACTTAGGTATTAATTCATAAACCAACACACACCAAACAAACAAAAACATCCCATTCCAATTAACATATAAATTAAACATGCACATCAGCAATAATCTTTTTCTTTAATCACAAAGGAATGTTTAGGTTTTCATGCAGTCTGGGATATATACTATGACCTCTCTTCCGTTAACTATCATGGCTACCACACATGTCTGTCCAATTCATTTTTTTTTTTTATCTCTTTACCCCAAATTTCAACCAAAGAATATATCAATATACAAGATAAAGAAAGGCTTTCATAGCTTGTCCACAAAACACTTACAGGAAGAGGCTGACACACACTTTCCCAGACAGTTAGTCAGTTTTGCTCATCTAATCTGTAAGCTTGAACCGAATTCATGTTAACAAATGTGGAGAATATCTTCACAATACAAGAGATGTATTTGACCGGTTTCAATTATACCTTCGTCAGAAATACATGTATTTCTAACAAAGATATAAATGAAACAGGTCAAAAACACCTCTTTTCTTTGTGAAGATATTCATTCTCATTCATTCTCTTTCTTGTCTAAGCTTGTACAGAATAATGCATGCTACTGATGCTTTTCTGTATTCTGCAACTCCATCTCTTCCTTTTCAAGCTAATCACCCTCTTTTCTGTATCTCTTTCTTTTCTTTTTGTCTCATTCCCTACTGTATCTGTTTCATTCCTGTATTTCCATTTTCCTTCTTCAAGTCATCTTAACCATCTCTGCCCTTCATTATTTCTGATCTTCATAGACCCTGTATTTCTTTTGCATTTCCTTTAGAACTCAAACAAAGAGCTCTCTCTTTCTCACTCTCTCTTCCTCTATATTTTTAAGCTTTATTTAACTTTACCAACCCTTCTGCCCTTCCAATCTTTACTGGTCTATCCAATTTTCATTTCTTAAATGTCTCAGCATACTGTACTTTCTCCCACTCTACCTCTAAATCTTAAACCCAATGCCGGGAAAATGTCATGTTCACTTCAGGTTTCTTTTGTGAAATGTCCAAAGTAGGCTCCACAAGTACTTAGTCACCAAGGAGTCAATAGTACACCTCATAACCTCATCTGATTTCCTTGAGGTTTCAGAAATATGGTTTTGTTTTTACAAATGTCATCTATATTGATGATGTTATTTTTGTTATGGATATTATAATTACTGTAGTGTCATTAACATCACTAATAGCAATATAAGACAAAAGCAAATATTTCTAAAAAAAAAAATAAGAAAAAAGGTAAACAGGTGAGATAGGTAGAACTAGCAACTGACTTCTTGGTGAATAAGTACTTGTGGAGCCCCTGTGTGTAAAGATAATTAACCCATTGCCGCCGGGGATGGCATGTATGTACATGCCATGCGCACTGTGAGTCAACTTGTTTGATTGTTTTTACACATAGATGGCTACACTTGTACTAAGTCACCAATGAGCCAATTATGAGTACTGCCTGTCTTGCCCGTTCACTCTTTTCATCAATTTACGAAAATATTTAACGGTATCCTAATTTGCTGTTTAAAATATCCCCATCTATATTAACCCATTGCCGCCGGGGAAAATTAACAAAAAATGGGGGAAATGTAGTATTCATTTTTTATATTTTTGTGAAATATCTCTGTCCATAGATGGCTCTGCTAGTCCTGATTTCACCTTTCCCTGAATTGGCGGGAAAAAAACGTATTTTTACTAGTGCTATAAATATAGATGTTGTAATTTTTAACAGCAAATTAGGATAACGTTAAATATTTTCATAAATCGATGAGAAGGGTGAAAAGGGTAGTACAAGTGTAGCCATCTATGTGTAAAAACAATCGAACAAGTCGACTCACAGTGGGCATGGCATGTACATACATGCCATCCCCAGCGGCAATGGATTAATAGCACTAGTAAGAATACGTTTTTTTCCGCCAATTCAAG